CGCCTACATTAAAGGGCTCAAGGTTCCTTATAATAGTATGCCCCGAAACCTCTAAGAAGATTTGGATAAAGGGTTTCGTCGGAAGCCTTGCAGGGAGAAGGCGTATAACGTCTGGCAGTCTGGCACCAGCCCTTGAAACCCCTCCAGAAACCTAACCCTCCGGGTACCTGCTATATAGGGCACTAGGGGCTCTAGTATCCTACATAGTAGTTACCTGGGGGGTTACAGGAAGCTTTTGAAACCCTAGTTAAGCCCTGCAACACCCACACAAAGCACTTCAAGACCCTCTTACAAAGGCAGCGCTATGTTAAACCCTTTGCAGCACGGACTGCGCTGGCCGGCACCTCAGTCCGTGCTATGTCAAAACCTAAACCCTAAACCCCTAAACCCCTAAACCCCTAAACCCCAAAAAACCCTAAACCCCTAAACCCTAAAACCCTAAACCCTAATGCGCTCACTCCGCGGAGGTTGTCGGAGGCGTTTGTGCCAAGTGCCGAGCATCGGCCATCCTCGGCAAAGCCGAGGACTACGGGAAACCTCGTGGGGTGTAGGGCCGTCTGGGGTCTCTATAAACCCTAAGCCCTAATTAAGCCTGAAACCGTTTTGGGATAAAGGGTTTAGGGTTTTGTGTTTTTTTGTTAAAGGCCGTTTTCGTCCAAAAGCCCGGGGTGGGCAGGCATCTGTACCTCGAGTTTAGTCCCTGGGATAAAGGTTTAGGGGTTAGGGATCCTTGAGGAGTGCCTTTAAGGTGCAGGGGGTCAAGTTGGGTTTAAGGGTTTTAAGCGGCTTAGGTTCGCAGGGCCTGGGGTGTCGGGAGCCTTCTTTAGGGATGAGACCGGAGGCTACTGTACGGTTTGTATCGAAGTCGGCAGGGGTAAGTGATAGAACAACGTGTTGGATTATGCCAGAGGCCTTCTGTAGCATGAGGAAGACCCATCTTTGCTTCAAGCTGCGGTGGGCTTGCGTACTCGGGTTGTGTTTTCAGGTTTTGGGCGCGCAGCCCAGCAGACTCAGGGAATCGTTGCGCACCCTGACTCGGGCCAATTGGTTGATTGCAGGTTTTTGTGCTCTCAGCATGTAGCCGAATGTACCCAGGGACTCCAATATCCTTTAATTAAGGAATATACCTTAAATCATTTTAAGGATCCTACTATAATTCAAGGATTCTTCCTTCATTAAGGAATATTGGAGTTTCTGGGTAGCTTCAGAAGACATGTTGACATACCTTAACCAACCAAAACCCACTTTTTGTAGGTTCTTATTACAGACCCTATTTTGGGATTTATAGGGACCCTACGAAAGAGTAGGTTCTGGTGGGTTAAGGTAGTTTTGAAGCTCAAGGAAGGGGTCTGAAGCCCTGCAGCACTCCGCATACCCAAACAACAAAAAACTTGCGACAACTCCGGATTCCAACAAAGCAAGCCTAGTCGCATTCTGTAGACAACCCCCCTAGGATATGTTAAAACTTGGAGATGAAGCCGTTCTGTAGACAACCCCCAGGATATGTAAACAAATTGGAGATAATAAAGCCGTTGTCGCCATTATGAACGTTTACAAACTGTAATGCTAGCTTAGATGCTCCTATCCTTTTCAAATTCCTGCCCTGAAGAAAAACCTGATGTTGCGACAACTAACATGGCGACTTTGTTTGCATGAGCCTAGAGTTTGCTCTTGCCCCATTCCCTCGAAATCCCCCGAACCCAAACCCTACCCTACACTCCCTACACCCGCAGTCCTACACCCCGAATAGAACGCCCAAAAACAAACCCAGCACCCCCAAAAATGCCCGACAGCCAAGCACACTAAGCCCGATCTGCCCTTGACCCTAAAACCCTAAACCCTAAAGCCCTAAACCCTAAAACCCTGAAGCCCCAAACCCTAAAACCCTAAGCCCTAAAACCCCAAAGCCCTAAGACCCTAAAGCCCTAAACCCTAAAGCCCTGAACCCTAAAACCCTAAAGCCCTAAAGCCCTAAAACCCTAAACCCAACAAGAAGTGCAAATGGGGAAGCCAAACTCCGAGGGCGCGGTGGAGCTCCGCCTGCCCGTAAAGGCTTTGGGATTTACTTGGAGGATCATGGGACTTAGTAAGTGAGGTTAGAAACAAGGTAACTGTACTTATCAGTACTTAGAACCCCAATTAGGGTACTTATAACATGACTGCCTAAGTCCCATGATCCTTCAAGTAGGGTTTAGTCGTTTGGGGTTTAGGGTTCAGTGTTTGCTTCCCTCCTAGTTGTTGTTACCTTGTTTTTGTAGGGTTTAGTGTGCCATTGGGGCTTTTGGGTTTAGGGCACTTTCTGTTGGCTCTCGCAAAGTTTCAGGCGTAGGGTTTCGGTTGAGAAATTTAGGGTTTAGCGCTTTCAAGGTTTACAATCTCCGCAGGTTATTTTGCATCCTGCCTATAGCCGGAGGACGCGGCCCAAGTTATGGGGTTAGCTCGAGAAGGAAACTTGACACATCCTTGCTAAATAGACCGTCACCAGGTTTACCTGTGCATCCGAAACCCTACTGTTTCAATGGTTAGATTACAAGTGTCATAACGTCATAAACTACTGTTTTTGTAGGGTTTGGGGCTGCAGGTAGGATTTCAGCACTCACTCTCGGACATGCCTAGGCGAGGTTCCTGGTACGAGGCGAAAGCACGTTCGCTATACGAACGGCACATGCAGGTAGGATTTAGGGCTCATGTCTCTCTCTGTCTCTCTATGATATGTGTATATATATATACACACACATATATATATATATAGAGAGAGAGACAGAAGCTTGTTCAAAAAGGATCTCTTGGATTGTGCTCTTTACGGTTTGGGGTTTGCAAGTCTTAAGGTCAGGAGTCTGCAGAGACCCCGAAAGTATGACGTAACAACCCAGAGAGCCCAATACCCTTTAATTAAGGAATATACCAGAAATCATAATACTAACGCACCTATAATTTAAGGTATATTCCTTAAATTAATTAAGGGGTATTGGGTTCTATGGGAAGGCCTCCAAGTCTTGGAAGTACTCGTCGCGCGTGCCATGCACGGCCCGCACGACCTCTGCCTCGAAGTCCTCCAAGGACTTGCGGTTTGTACCGAGGGTTTCGAGGGGTCTGCAACATCCAGGCCCCATGACGGTCCCTTCTGCAAGGTTAAGTTTATAGGGGGTAGGGAGAAGGGCTTAATGTTTTCTGCTGCAAGTTGTTGCATGCATGCAAAACCGTGTCATACCTCACAGACATCTCTAACATTCATATACAAAGCAGACACCATGGTCCAACAGAACCATCCAAACACCCAGAAAAAATGGCAAACACAAAACACCCCCCACCCTGAACCCTTAACTTGCTAAACCCTCAACCCTTAAAGCACATCCACACCCCCAACCTTGGCCCTCCGAATTCCAAGCTTCAAGGTCATTGAAGACGGGGCCAAGAGCCCACAAGATCCCTCTCCTCTCAGACCCGACACTAGGGTTTGGGGTTTAGGGCTACACCCTGAAACCGAGTAGGGCATGCTGATGAAAAATTGAATCTTGATGAAACTGGGAAAAGGAGCATGAACAAAGACTCACTTACTCACGACCCGTTTAAAAACTCTATGAAAACCCTTCGAAGACGAGCTGCTTGTTAAGGCCCCAACGGTCCCTATAACGAATAGGCCCCATAGTAGTCCCTTTTGGTGACTACCTAGTAGGATCGTAAAATATAAGCCACAAAAATAGGCACTACTATGGGGCCTTTGGCCTAAACCCTACACCCTAAACCCCTAAACCCTGTAAACCCCACCCCGCTCCTTCCGCTGCAACAGCTCGATGCCTCGATGCAGCGCTACATCCGCACCGACGCCTTCAGGGTTAGGGTCTAGTGGTTCAGGGTTTAGGGTCTAATGGTTTAGGGTTTATGGTTTGGGTTTTGGGTTTAGGGTTTCGGGTTTATGGTTTAGGGTCTAGCGGTGTAGGGTTTAGGGCTTAGAGTCTACCCATAGGCCCTATAGTAGTTCGTTTTTGTGGCTTATCCTTTAGGATCCTAGTCGGTAATCCCAAAAAGGAACTACGTATGGGGCCTATGGGTAGTGGTTCAGGGTTTAGGGTCTAGTGGTGCAATGGTTGAGGGTTTAGGGTCTAGTGGTTCAGGGTTTAGGGTCTAGTGGTTCAGGGTTTAGGGTCTAGTTTGGAGTCTAATGGCTTAGGGTTTAGAATCTAGTGGTTTAGGGTTTAAGGTCGAGTGGCGCAGGGTCTGGGGCGAAGGGTTTCAGTGCGGGTCTAGGGTCTAGGGGATTCGGGATTTCCTGGACTCCGGGGCTTAGGGATGCTGAGGGTCTTCGGGTTGTGGGCCAAGTAACAACGCCAAGAAATCACCACGCCGGCAGTGTGGCTTTGAACCTAGAGAAATACCCGTGCACATAAAGACTCCCATCACTTTAAGAAAGAAAAATTCGTCATATGTTCACCAGAAGCGTCGTGTATGGCAACAGTAACTCTAGAAAGAAACAAAGACCACAGTTATCGTCACTGAACCACATACATAAAAGGTATCATAAGCGAATATAAATATTTTATAGCAGAAGTACAACTCATTGCAACGAAATCGCTTTAATGATGTCAACTGGACATTAAAAGGCTCCTTACGGGCTCTATAAGCGTTCCGATACTGGTTATAGTTTAGAGTTACACGTCAAGGGAGTAATGTAGGGGCCAAAATAATTACCAATACTATTTCTGGGGCTCCTTATAGCAGTCTAATTAAAGTATAATGGGCGCGAAAACCCTATTCTAATCGTTAAGGCCCCTATATTAAAGGGTTCAAGGTTCCTAGAAGGGCTGTTGCAACAGCTATCTATGCACGGGGATATGTAACGACCCCTGAAACAGCAAGTTTTTGGAATGACACGTGCGCTGCGCGGAGTTGTCTTTGCCTCCAGCAGAATATGTGCGACATGGCACTCCCTCGGCCGAGATGCATGACCAAAGGGGTGGCGGCATCGTCGAAGACCTGCAGGATCCAAAGGCTGTGCCGCATCATCGATACCTTCTTCTTTTTTGTGCGTTCGACTCCTGCAAAAGTCGTGCAAGCTCCAGGTGTCCTCTCTCAGTGGCAACGAGCAGCGGGGTGGAGCCATCGTGCGTGGCCTTGTTCATGTCCGCATTGGCCTCTAGCAAGAGGCGCGCAACTTCCAACTGTCCGCTCTGAGCCGCAATGAACAAAGGGGTGGCGCCATCATGCATAACCTTGTCCTTATCTGCATTGGCCTTCAGCAAGAGGCTTGCAACTTCCAACCGCCCTCTCTGAGCTGCAATGAACAACGGGGTGGTGCCATCATAAATAATAGCCTTTTCCATGTCCGCATTGGCCTCCAGCAAAAGGCGTGCCACGTCCAACTGCCCAGTCTGAGCTGCAATGAACAACGGGGTGGCGCCATCCTGGGTGGCCTTGTCCTTGTCTGCATCGGCCTCCAGCAAAAGGTGTGCAACCTTTAAGTTCCCGGTCTCAGCTGCAATGTACAAAGGTGTGGCGCCATCCTGCACAGCTTGATCCATGTCTGCCTTGGCCTTCAGCAAAAGGCGTGCAACCTCCAAATGCCCTTCCTGGGCGGCAATGAACAACGGGGTGGTGCCATCATGCAAAACCTTGTCTGTAACTGCATTGGCCTCCAGCAACAGACTCGCAACCTCCAAGTGCCCTTCCTGGGCGGCAATGAAGAACGGGGTGGCGCCATCATTAATGGCCTTGTCCTTGTCTGCATTGGCCTCCAGCAGAAGGCGCACAACCTCCAAATGCCCTTCCTGAGCTGCAATGAATAGCGGGGTGGAGCCATCATGCATGGCCTTGTCTTTGTCCGCTTTGGCTTCCAGCAAAAGGCCTACAACATCCAGTTGCCCGTCATGAGCTGCAGCGAACAACGGGGTGGAGCCATCATGCATGGCTTTGTCCATGTCTGCATTGGAATCCAACAAAAGACGTACAACCTCCAGCTGCCCACTTTGTGCTGCAACTTGCAATGCCGTGTTGCCGTCATCATCGTCGAAGGCCTTGTCCTGGTCTGCCTTCGCCTCAAGCAGAAGGCGTATGACCTCGAGGTGGCCACACTCGGCTGCCTCAAGCAGTGGGGGCGGATGGCCGAAACATGTTAAATCAGGGTCTTGTGGCCTTTGCAGAATATTCTCCACCTCTGATGTCAGGCCATGTGTTGCGGCATCCCGAAGTGCTGCCACTTGCGTGTCTGATGTTGGGCAGAAGTTTAGAAGCACGACCTGAACTTCGCCGGATCTCAAGCTTTGATCTTCATCTAGAAACACAGCGTCATCATCACCACCCCCATCGTGCAGGAAAACCAACCTTTGCCGGAACCTTGACAGCCCACACATTCCTTGCAAGTGCTGTTTCAATGCCCGGACCGGATGCATGCCGGAAGGGAGCATCTCGAGAAAGCTCGCCAAGTTCAGGGAAAGGAGTCCTTCACCCGACGCTGTCCGAATCTGCAGCATGGCTAACGCTAAACTAAACGGAAAAAAGGCGAACTCCTGTACGAACAGATTCTGATGCATTTTCTAGATTCGTAGAAAGGCTTGGACTCTGCGGCAGCGTTTACCCTAAACGCTATCTATGAAATAAACCCTCACACCGTAATCCCTAAGCCGCTAAACCCTCAACCCAGCTTGAAGGCCAGAGCTCAGGATTGCAGAATCGACGCCGACAGCAGGAAATCCTGTACTCCCTTCCCTATCAAGCGTAGGGCTAGGGATGCGGAGCAAACGGTTTAGGGTTTGACACGTTAAAACAAAATCATCCGAAGCTTGCAGCTTGAACCTCCAAGATCTTTTGAAGCCGTAGAACCTTTCCAGAAACTCTTGAAGCCTATAGAACCCTTCCAGAAACCCTTATAGCCCGCCAACAATACATATATATATATATATGTATATATTCATATATATATATATATGTGTGTGTGTAACACATGTATAAGCGGTAGTATATGCATATCTAGATACATGTATATATATATATATATATGTATGTATGTATACACGCATATATGGTACCCGCCAAGAAAAACCAGTATTGTTCCTTGAACTGAATGTCTAAAGATATCAGCCGTAAATGCTCAAAGTTAACATCAAGGAAATGCCAAAACGTATCAAAGCATCAAGTTTAACATCATCGGTGCCTTGAACATTGAAGATCGAAGGTTTGCCGGAGAACTTTCCCAGGAATCTTCAATGTCCAATGTTCAGAGCGAGGAACACTTGCAACATCAAACATATCAAAAACACATCAAAGCTCCAGTTTCTGTGCTTGGAACACTGAACATGGAGGATGTTGAGGAAAACTTTTCCAAGAGTTCTAAGCAACAGAAATGTCAAAATTTGGCATTGGCTTGATACGTTTACTGTTTTGATTACATCGGTATAACGTAATAGGCTTTTGTGACTTCGCCGCTATTTCCAAAAATCTGCCCATCACACGGCTTCTGTTTCCCTTGTCGGGGGGTACCAGACATGAGAACATGCTTATTCAATAGATGCATGCATACAGTATCCCTAAGGGTGAATATGCCTGTAGTGCCAAAACACTACCAGGCCTAGTACATCACATGTTTGCGCACATACGAACATGTGAAAATGAATGCGGTATAACTACTGCACAACAGAATCGCTGGGTCGCACGTTCTATGCTACAGGTACAACAGGTACATGTTCTTTGTGTATATCACAGACCAACGAATGCGAGATGATGATCCACACCAACCACGTCTTCAATCAAAACTGCGTCGGTAATGTAACTCGAGGCATTTCCTATAATTTTGTCGTGTTGTGGTCATCAGTTGCGGTACCTGTGAAATTCAGTGTCCGTATATTGAGTTGCGAGTGCATCGTGCTCACAGTTTGTTGCTGACAACACCATAGCATATGTTTATCTACGTGTGTATTAGCTTGGCAGCTAAGCACCACTGTGTGACATACTCGTTCAACATACTACTTCTGAGCAAGCGGCATACTTGTTAGACACGAATACCAGAATACTTAGATACCAGACGAATGTTCGATCGCAATACTAGACGGATCTCAGTGTTGTGGTACTTAAACCGTATATTCACAGTTCTTGCTTGTGTTTGTAGTTAGAAGCGCTATGAAACATTCGCTTGCCAACTAACTGAGATGGCTACTACATGATGTTATCACATGGGCTCGCATGTCCTTACCCAGAGGGTCCATGTACCTAAATAGTATATACATTGGCCCTAAAGTACCTATATAGGGACTACATTAAGGCCAATGTATACACTATTTGAGTACATGGACCCTTAGGGTTACACTTGGGCCTGATTGGCTGTGTTCGCAAAGCATAAAAGGATGTATTTTCAACATGATACCAGATCTCGTGGAACAGTAACAAGAACTAGCACAAACACGAGTATTGGGTTTTGCTTCAACGCTGTATTGTGATGCCGTTTTTATGTGGATTAAGCAGAAGTTCGCATGATATCAATAACAGGCAGTGGTGATAAACTTGAATATGATGGTGGCGGTACGAAACATGATGACGCTTATTTAAGGGCAAGTAGCCCGAAACCATAGAATGCGCAGGCATACTTTATTATTGCGCTAGTAATCAACATCAACGGTTTGGTGTAGTCGTACACAGGATCACAGGCAAACCTTGGCACGACTGCTTGTGCATGGATGATAACAAAAGGAACAGTTTGTATGCTTATTCTTGTTCGGATGGTGTGGGTTCTAGCCAATTCCTATTTTGGGATTAACGCTGATACTACAGATTGCCATGACCGGTTCTATTAGAGACGAATACATGATGATAAAGATTGAGAAGACGGTTTGGCTACGGCAATAAGGATGACAATACAGCTTCTGATGACGGCCGTAGTAGGGAAAGACAATATGATTGCTAGTACTGATAGGGTATAGGCAACACTTAGCATGATTATTTGTGTTGGTATTTGCGTTGGAGGGGTCATGGGCAATAGCTAGTATGATTAAAATGTTTGTGCATGGAGGGGTTTTAGGCGACATGTAGCATGACCAATTAGTGCACTTAGGATGGCTATTCGTGCTCGGAGCGGTTGTCGGCGATGTTTCGTATTTCGCAGTAAAGTGTTTTTTACGCAGTACTTAGTATGATTGTTGGCCATCATTGGTATTCGGAGGGGTGCTTTGTGCTTGGATGTTAAGGGAATTGTGAGGAGGGCTCTAGGGCTAGACTCTAGGGATTATTGCGTGCATTCTGATGTGGTCAAAACAACGGAAGCCTTTAGGTAGGTTTAGAGGGCGGGGGAGCTACATATATATATATATACATGTAT